ACACACACACACACATACACACCCGTGTACACGCTGTGACTGTTGGTACCTTAAGGTCAGCACGGAGCTCCAGCCTCTAATCAGAGTAGAGAAAGACACAAAATCACGGCTTCTCAAAATAGTTCTTCCCTTTCATCTTCCTCCCTCCCTGACAGTTCCCCTCCCTTTCTCCCAAAGCGAGCCCAGCTTCAGCGTGACGAAACACCCTTGTCATTTCTTATGACAATGACAGCCACACACACACACACACACACACACACACACTTACAGGACTCTCACAGCATGACCAGTTTTTGCTCCTATCTAAATTGAAGTAAAGTCTGTGATGTGATGAGTCTTGATTGGTGTAAGCTGGGTCACTTTGATCTATGTATACCCGTCACATTAAGCTCAGTGACTATCCTGTAACAGGAGCAGAACATTCAGCCTGTTTCAACCGTCAGGCTGCAGCTCACCCAAAATCACCCAAAAAATACCCATTTAGATTTATTTATGTAGCCCACGGCAGCAGCTTATTTTGCTCCTTTCCTATTCATCTGTATCCACCTTAAGGTAAAGATTATATAGCTTGAAATTGATGTGGATGGCACCTGTAATATGCAAGAGTGCAGAGGAAGTGGCTCTTAATTCTGTTTCCTGCTGCCGCACTGTATGTGCTGCCTGTTTACAGAGCAGATCTCAGTTTAGTGAGCCTGTGTAGTGTTATAAAACTGTTTGTGTGTGTGTGTGTGTGGCAGCATGTTCAGACAGGAGCTGCTTCGCCACGACTCGTTTACATTCCTGAGACAAACAGAACAGCCAAGTAGTAGTCGGCATTTGTTTCTTCTGTTTCTCATGAATCTGCCAGCTTCCCTCCTTCTGTTCCCCCTCGCTCCTCGAAATGATTTCAGTGACGCACGTGTCAGATGTAGGAAAAACAGGTGATCCCGGGCACACACTCAGAAGCGAACACACAGGTGATCCAGGTGCGAGGTGGATTGTGAGGCAGCGGAACAGAGGGAGGAGTGAACCCTTCAACTGGGTACAAAGTGGCACAGACAGACACATGGATAAACAGACAGACTGATAGAGAGAGGGCAAAATACAAAGAGTGCAACAGATAAGGCAGAGGTGTGTGTGTGTGTGT